TCCAAGTTCAAAATCAAAGTGAGGTGCATTACCCCAGGCTGATCTCACCATCATCCTGACACTGTGGACCCTGGTCCCTCCTCTGATTTTGAATATGGTTTTGTCTACTTTTTTCTTTTTGGTAACCAGTTGGATCTCTTTGATTGCTTGCTTCTGGTTACCAACTTGGCTCCACTAATAACTCCGGTTAGCTGGCTTGCACTTTTTACAGGTGACTCTTGGAGGCTGACCCAGGGGGCCTGCTGGGGTTTAAGTCAGTGGTCCAAGCACCGGCTCTCCTCAATCCCAGCACATCCCTGTCTGAGTTTCTTCTAAACGCTATTTTGTGGTGACAGGATGGGAGTTGCATTGGTTAAGCATTTACAGTATGTTGGTGATGAGATCATGAAATTTGGGGTTCTGTTAAATAGGGTGAGTCATCCTTCATGTGTCAGGTCCTGCCCTCAGTGTCCCCAAGATTTCCATCATGAATGGCAGTGAACACTTTCAGTATGCAACAAGGTTAGGTCTACAAAAACTTCAGATAAAACTTATCAAATAGATAATAATATGTTTAAAATAAAGACATAAAAGAAGAAATAACATAAGAAAATAATAAAATCAAGACACTATATATTATGTATATATATATATATATACACACACACATATATATATATATATATATATATCATATACATGAAAGATTTTCTAGAAATAAGGAAAAAGGTTTTCTAGAAATGAGAAGTATGATAACTAAAAGTAGAAGCCTAATAGATGGGTTAAGCTGCAGGATAGACTAGGTCGTTGCACAGATCTCCCCTCCCACCAGCAGCGCACAGTTCCTGTTTCTCCACATCTTTGCCAACATTTGAGGGTGGTGCAAACTATACACAGGTAGGCATATTGCAGGTTGCATTGTTTCTTTACAGAATTGAGCCCATCCCAGTCAAGGTCTCACCCTCTTCTGGGTTCCTGGGTCAACACAGGGACTTGAAGCCTCAATAAATCCCTCTTTGCTTGTTTTGTGTTTGGTTCTTGGGTCAATTCTCAACAGGGCTCTCCCACAGAAAGGCTCTGCTTTCTCTCCCTGGTTCCCACACCCTGAAGCCTCCCTCATACCCAGCGCCGACAACATTGTGTTTTTCTGCTTATGGTTTTAACTATGCTAATCCCCAGGTTCTGTTTTACTCACACTGCACCTTTGAGCCACCTCCTTCCCCCTCTGCAGGCCAAAGTGTAACCCACCTCTTGCCATTCTTTTTTTCTGTCAGCCAGTCTCCAAACCAAACAAATACAGCTCCTTTATTCACATGTGGTAAGTAACCTTAGAGCCCAGCCAGGAGCTTACAGGCTTATCTACAGTTGGGAAGGCACCAGAGACATATTTTTCAAAACCTGAAACTAGACACATAACCTGAAAACCCAGAGGTAATACAGTATATGGTTAGAGTGTGGACTCCTGAAGCTGAATCTGTTACTTAGCTGTGTGACTTTGAGCAAATCACTTAACATCTTTGTGCCTCAGTTTTCTCATTTGTAAAACAGAAATAATAGTATCCGCTGTATAAGGCTGTTATGAGAATTAAATGAGTTAGTATATGGAAAGTGTTTAGACAAGTATCTGGCATGCATAATGAGTACTGTATATGTTCCTTATCATCATTATCACTATTTAATTGGGGCTGTCCCAGGAAATAGCAGGTGGCAGACACATTCATTGAATGGAGAACAGTATCAGGAAGTACCACTTCATTTCTGCATCTATTATTTTCTTCTTTTCTTTATCAACTTCTCAAGATATTCTTTTATCTGCTTATCACTTATTGGATAACCACCTTGTTTCTGCCTTATGCCCTTTAGCGCTCCTTTCCACAAACCATTCTGCTTGTAGCAGCTAATAAATCCCATGCTTTTGGCATCTGGGAAGTTGCTTTTAGTTTTCTGATGGTGTTAAGCTGACACTGACAGGGCCCAGGGGAAGGAATGCGGTGGGAATGCCTCCCCTCTCTTCAGGGGAAGAAGGTCACCTTGAGTTTGAACTTTCTTAACATCCTACGCTGGCCGAGATACCTAGACACAGGGCTTTTCTTTAACTATCCTCATCTGTTTGGTGAAAATCCCAGAAAAACTGCTTTCTCATTTCTCTCCTGGTGACTTCTAAGTGGATTATTCACTTGGGATAGTAATCAATTCTGTGTCAGGCTCTCAATCTACATAGAGAGAAAGATGCTGACTCACAGGTAATGATGCTGGTCTCAGGTAGCTGCAAGTATTAGATAATGTTGCCTGTTTGTGGTTAATAAAGGCTTGCTTTGAACTATATCCCAGAATATACTTCCAAGGGAGAGAGTTGGGCTATTCAGTAGATTGGATTCTTCTACCACACATCTCCCAGATATTTTTTGAAGAATTCAAGGAAATACAAGTGTGACATCTATAAACTAACTCATATCCTGAAGTCTAAGGCATCAGCAACTCAAACAGATGCATACTAATTAAATTAAATACATATATTCAGTCTTTAATTTAGAATAGCCTTTCCCCTAGTGTCAAAGTAATAAGCTCTGATTATACAGCTTTTTGCAAGCAGACATGTTTGCGTTTTCAGAAATGGGAAATCCAGGGAAGGCTCAGTGAGTGTGTTGAATTATCCACCTAATCCCTGTGCTGTCCTGAAATGCAGCTTTTCATCTTTGACTTCTGACATTCTTACACTACCTGTTTTCAGGAGCTATTCTGCGTTTAGTGATCAACCTCATATCCATCCTAGGGTGATTTTTAGTACTTATTAACAATTCCTGAGTCCTAATTTATGCTGACCCCTTACAAGGTTTTGGGAAGTCAAAGATAA